AGGCACAGGGCAAAAGAGATAGACACAACTACCCTAATTTATGCAGAACTAGAAAAAGGATTTGCCTTTATATATATACTTTTAGTACGTGAAGTCTAATTCAGTCTGAAGATATGAAGAGAGAGAATGTAAATTTGTGTATTTCATGTTCTGTGTAAATATCTGGAAATAATTTATATGGAAATCACACAAATGATTCCGATAAATTTCCAGAACTAAGACAGAAATTCCTACAAGTGATCCTGCGGCTCCCTCTGGTGTTCAGATTGCAGAATGATCCGAAAATGACAAATTCTTCAATTCTTTTTCTTTTCTTTCAGCGAGTCCGGCAACTCGACAGAACCCTGGTGAGAAAACCAATCTTTCATGTAAATCTGATTTAAGGTGCCGAGGTGGCTCATCAATCACAGGGAGCGGAAACAAATACTAATATGTGAAATTGGGGTCAATAATAAAAAAAATGGTATAAAGGTTCAAGACGCAGGCCATGTCGGCTCCCCATGCTGCGGCTCTCACCTGCAGACTTTGTATGAATGGGAGTTCATTTCACGTGTTCAGTGTTCAGTCCGCAGATCTCGGGGCAGCAACGTTTCAGCGTTCCATCTCCGGGATTCATTCATTTATAGACATTCACCGATCCCACAAATTTCTCCTGAACATCAGCGTGGCAGAGCCTCCGGGGCCTTCATAGAGGAGATCTGCTCTGTGTAGCCAACAAGCTGAACTCCGGGATGAGTCAATCTTGTCCCCATGCATATCAGATCAGTGGTTCTCAACCTTTCTAGGGGCCGGGACCCCTTGGTAACATTTGCCAAGTTGTGGTGACCCCCCCCAACGGTACAATTTAGGGATGACGCGGCTGCTGCAGCGCCATCTGGCGGCGCGGCGGGAGAACTGACACTGCTGCGCTAGGAGAGGGATGAGGAGGACTCTCACCTAGCACAGCAGAAATCACACAGCGACCCCGCAGCTTGAGAACCGCCGTCAGAATAATAATTTAAAAAAAAAACACCGTAGGGATGCAGCCAATCAGCTCCTATCTCTTAAGGTGCCCATACACCTGCCGATTATCGTACGGTAATAGCGGGTGATCCGGCGATCGTACGATAATCGGCAGGTGTATGGAAGGCGTGCGGCCGCTTCTACTGTACGGTCGCACGTCTTTTGTCTCCCGAGCACGCCTGAAAACCCGCCGAGAACCGTAAGATTTTCGGCGGGTCAGTGGCGTCCTCGGAAGACAAATGCCGAACGGGCCGGTGTGAGCAAGCGCGCGCTGCCCGCTCAGCATTGCAATCATCGGAGAGGGATTGAGATGATCGCAAGTACGATCTGCCTGTCCAACATGGGCGCGTCGTACGAAATTTTAATGACCTTACAACCATCGCAGGATGAAAGTCGTTCGATGGTTGTAAGGTGTATGGGCAGCTTTAGTGTGTGTATTATATACACCGAGTGGCCGGATTATTATATACACCGAGTGGCCGGATTATTATATACACCGAGTGGCCGGATTATTATATACACCGAGTGGCCGGATTATTATATACACCGAGTGGCCGGATTATTATGGGGGGGGGGGGTCATAATAATCCGGCCACTCAGTGTATATATATACTGTATATGTGTGTTAGAGTTAAAAGACTTTATAAGTAATCTCCAGAATCAAAGAGTATAAATGAGAAATGTGTGACAATGTTATGCGGTTTCCTGGCTGGGAAAGGGATCGTTTGGGATTGGAAGTCGTCGCCACTTGTTGCGATATTGTGAATAGGAAAATAAAGTAAGATTGAGATCTGGGACACTTCTGATTGTGATATTATTATTATACGGGATTTATAGAGCGCCAACAGTGTGCGCAGCGCTGTACAATATAAGGAAGACATTACAATTACAATACAATTCACTGCAAGGTGGTGAGGAGGGCCCCGCCCCTGAGGGATTACAATCTAAAAGGGGAGGGGCCAGTGATACATGAGGAGGGAGCTGTGTGGGGATGAATGGTCGAGCGGTTAGGTTGAGGTGGGATCGGCTTCTCTGAAGAGATGAGTCTTTAGGGATCGCCTAAAGGCAGTCAGAGTGGGAGATAGACGGACAGGTTGGGGTAAAGAGTTCCAGAGGATGGGAGAGACTCTAGAGAAGTCCTGGGGGCGAGCATGGGAGGAGTTGACGAGGGAGCTGGAAAGCAGGAGGTCAATGGATGAGCGGAGGGGACGGTTAGGGTGATACTTTGAGACAAGGTCTGAGATATAGCCGGGGGCGGAGTTCAGGATGGCATTAAACGCGACTGTTAATATTTTGAATTTTATCCTCTGGGAGAGTGGAAGCCAGTGGAGGGATCGGCAGAGGAGGGTGGGAGAGAGGCTCGGAGGCGGTGGATGTGCGGTGCATTGATCACTGTGTATTATTGATATATATATACTGTATATGTTTTATTGTTTCCCTGCATATGGTTCTCTGTCCCTCTGACGGTAGTAACTCCCTCGGTGTCTTTGCAGCACCATCGACAGAGTGGCCCTGAAGATCGCCACGCCGATCATAATCACGGTGTTCGTGTTGGCGCTGTATCTCCACGCTCAGCAGGTGGAGTCCACGGCCCGGCTGGACTTCCTGTGGAAGCTTCAGGTACTCCGCTGGGAAATCTCTTAAACTGTTCTAGAGGCTTCCGTACAAAGTCAGAGCGATAATAGAGAGTGAAGAACCGAGGCCGCTGGACGCCATTTTGTGGCCGGTTCATATATTTAAAAAAAAGAAGCTTTTTGGATAAATAAATGACATATTTATGAATGAAGACATTGAATTGGATGACACAGATGTCTGCGGGGTCCCTGGACAGGCAACTTACGACTTTGATTATAAAAATATTTATTGGACAATGTTCAAATTATTAGAGAGATATTATTAGGGTGACTTTCTTCCTCATTTCTCTCCCCCCCCCCCCCCCCTTCCCTTTTACTAAAAAACATTGATTGTTCTGTATAAGAGCTCTGCCATTTCCTCTGATGTAACCAATACGGGTGCTCTTGTTGGTTGTTGAGGAGCTCTCATTGGCTGGTGGGATGGCGGTGGGGGGCCTGGCTGAGCTCTATGTTGCAGCAAATGTTCAGCCCCCTGTACAGGGCCCAACCATATTTGAGGGGCTCACTGCACAAAGATTTTCTCAACAGCAGTAACAAAGGTAAAGGGTAAAAACTGGAACAGCAGTGCCCCTCCCCCATCCCTTCCTCTGCACTGGAAGCTGAAACATTGACCACAAATATGCAACAGTTCCTGTAGAGAATGATTGTGTTTTCAGGTCGCACAATAATTGATCTCACCAGCAGGTGGCGATGCTGAGCTCATCTGTGACTGCAAGTCTCAGAGAAATGGGACCCATGAGAAAGAAGGGCCCCCTCTGTGCTTCCAGTCTCCCTCACAAACATACACTGAGTGGCCAGATTATTATATACACCGAGTGGCCGGATTATTATATACACCGAGTGGCCGGATTATTATATACACCGAGTGGCCGGATTATTATATACACCGAGTGGCCAGATTATTATATACACCGAGTGGCCGGATTATTATATACAC